GGTATCTGAGCTTTGGCGTTCCTGACTTTCTTTTAAAATTCCATACATTCTGTAGTCTATAGATTTGTTAGATCACCAAATTATCCGTTGTGGAGTTTGTATTCAAATATTTATCTTGACCCCACAAAGCATTTACATGTCTACAGCTCTACACTTGAACAGTACAGGGGAGTGTTTTACAAGTGCCTTTGTCCCCTCCCCAGCTTCAACTGTTTCCGCAGATAGATGGGGACAGGTGTAGTCAATTGGTTCTGGTCTCTGTCATGCAGACCCACGATTGTCAGAGAAAGTTCAAATGTCCTTCAGCAACAGGTACTCAATCACTCACTTCCCACAAAGTTGGGAAAGACTGTAAAACACCTTTGGAGGGCCGCCAGCAGCACTGAAGCCAGTTGCAGTCTGGAAAGTGGCCACAGTTCTTTAACACCGACGATGCAAATAGGGGGAATTCATCAGGCTAAGATGAAACATAGCCTTCATCATTTCAAAATAAATAAATAAAGTGGCTGCACCAGAAATCCCAAAGTCCATTTCTCAAGCAGTGTGAAGTTTACAGATGCTGACTATAATTTAAGAAACTGAGTTCTGGCAAGAAGAAAAACATCTGTCGTAGTAAAGATCAGATTCTGACTGACAAAATGGTGCTATTTATTTTGAAAGGCAATTAAGACATTGTTCCCAGTGACAGGAAAATTTAGAGATTATTTACATTGAGTTATAGATTACCTATCAGAAGAATTCAATTAATGATAAGTACACTCCAAAGGGAAGCACTTCAAAGGCTCTTAGAAGCGGGGGGCTCCCTGTAACTAATTTCTCCCTTGGATTACTTGCTGACTGGAGTCAATAACCGTATCTGCTACAAATAACACACCAGACCTTAATTTTTCTTGATATTGTTGGGTTGGTTTTGGGGGCGGGGTGGAAAGGCATTTGCCTTGATTATTTTTCTTACATGCATTTATTTTTGTCATATGTGTAAAGGTCAGAGGGCAACCTTTAGGAATCAGTCCTCTCTCCTATCATGTGCAGTCTGGGGATCCATCTCAGGTCAATAGGCCTGGTGACAAATACCTGGACCTTCTAGGCCATCTTGCCTGTTAAGGCCCTACCTATTTTAATTTTTGACCAAGTTTAGGGAAGTACTTACCCATTAAATGAGCAAATTCTTAGTTTAACCAACTGTTGTGGAAAGACCTGGGAAAACTGCTTTCCTAAGCAAAGACCTGAGATACAGCTTTCTGCTGTTCTAACAATATTGTTTAAAAAAGAAAGAGACCTAGTAGGGCGGTGACCTTTAATCCCAGCACTTGGGAGGCAGGGGCAGGAGGACCTCTGTGAGTTCAAGGCCAGCCTGGTCTACAGAGTGAGTTTCACGACAGCCTGAAATACACAGAGAAATCCTGTTTAGAACAGAGAGAGAGAGAGAGAGAGAGAGAGAGAGAGAGAGAGAGAGACAGAGACAGAGACAGAGACAGAGACAGAGACAGAGATCCAGGGTAAAGGTGCCTAGAAAGAAGGTCCCAAATTCAGTCCCTTGGTGGAAGACAAATTCAATAACATGACCAGCATGGGATAAATGAGAACCTGGCAGGGCACATAGATCTTCATGACTTTTGTCATATAAAGCTCATGGCTGCTATATCAGCACTTGGGAAGATGAAGCAAGAGGATCCTGGAAAGGCTCAAGGCTAACCTGGTCTAGATAGTGAGTTCTAAGCCCACCAGGTCTATATAGAGATCCTGTCCCCCCCAAAAGCTGAACAGAAACAACACCATAAAACTGACCTTACAGAAAAACTGAAATAAATGCAGGGCCATATTTCCACAATTCAGGATTATAATCTCCATTTGTCTTTAGTCTTTAAATGAATTCTCAGCTGTTTTCAGTGCGTTTAAGTGTGCTAAAATTTACTGACAGCAAGATGTTTTTGGAAAGAAACAGGAGTGGTAAAAGGTTTTCCCTATTAAGTATGGCTTTATTACGGTCCTTTAAATTCTGTTCAAACTTCACATTTCCCATTGTATATGAAAATCAGCGTAAAAAATAGAGATCTGTTGAAGGGCATAACAACAGACTAATGAAATGCATCTTTAATTGTTTAACAAGAAATATTGGATATATGTTATGTGTATGATGTGTATGTTGCCTTTTGTACTAAATTTATTCTTTCTTATAAGCCTAGTGTTATCTTGCTAGAAAACAATTTCTACTTATTCCTTAACTCTTATAGGCTATACTATCAAAGGACTACAATTGTAACTAAGCATGTTTTTTAACCGCTTCGGATCATTCAAGCACGTCATTCCACCAACCAACATTCAATAGACACAAATTTACTATGCAATTATGCAACCTGTCCTTTTATTCCAAAGGGAGCAGAAGACAGGTACAACCAGACTCGGCAGCACCCGATTCGTTTTTTATGCGTTAGGATATTCATTGAGGAGCACTAAGGTTAGCGTTCCTTATATATAAATTTTCATATGCAGCAATAACAGAGAGAGTTGAATTATACCATTGTCTGTGGGTACCCTACAACATTTGCAGCCCAAAACGGGGAGGAGATATGCATATAACCCTTTGACTTGAATTCTCTGGATTTATTTTTAGGCTGGTAAAAACAACACTTTAATTGAAAATTCTCTTTGTAAAACCACGTCTTTCTTTTGTTAAACAGTCTAGTGTGTGCTTCTTTCTCAGCGTCACTGTCTGGTCTTAGGGGCAGAATAAGGATGCTGTCGTTTCAGGGAACCCTGGTCAGGATGCCAGCCTTGCCTGAGCATCCGGGAACACGTCGGTACTGGATTCTCTCTCTCAGCTTCCACGCAGGATACAAACCCTGAGGGTTACACCCATCTCCATCATGGAGAAGACCACAGGAGATCCTAAAAAGACGCATCGTGGAAGACCAGGTCTCCATTGTCATGCTCCTATCCAGAAGGAAAGTCTCAATAAACACACCCTAAGAGGGGGTCACCCAAAGCACCACAGAGAAGGGAACGCCCCTGCCAGTCCTGGGCCTGGTGGTAGCGAGGAGCCAGTCGACACTCCCTGTCAAGACACGCCCTACCACGCCTCGCCACGCCCCTCCAGTCCAGCGTCTAGTCTTTGGCCAGAGGGTCAGCGCACGCGCGCGTCTGCGCTCCGGGCCACAGCTTGGGGGCTACTGTCCTCTGTGCTGGCAGGCAAAGCGCTGGGGAACAACTGTGAACCATGGAGGGGGAGCCGGGATGCTACAAGCCAGCGTGAAAGAGACACGAGTAAGCGAGCATGAGCTGGCTGGATCAAGAGATGTCCCAGTGCCCATTTCCTCCCTATTTTATGTTCCCAGAAACTGCCGGGCAGCTAGGGACAGTATTAGGGCGGGGTCTCTCCCGGCGGGAGGCGAGCGAGACCGTTAAGCTAGAACACCCGGAGACCGTCTTGGCAGCTCGGGCGCCACCCGCGCCGCAATAAAAGCCTCTCGCGGCTTCCCGCCCAGCCAGCCTCGCTCTGATTGGTCGCCGAACGGAGTTGGCTGGAGGCGGTGGCCCGGCTCTGCTCTCCTGTTGCCCACGGAGGGGGGCGCGCTGGGTGCTCCCGGGGCCGCCCTGTGCACTCCCCACCCAGGGCTCAGCGCTACAGGACAGATACTGCCACATTTGACAGAAGACAGGCACGTGCTGCCCCCTACGCCTAGCCTGCTTTCAGCTGGTGCTTGGCAGCACACGCCCCCCGCCCCAGCTGTCGGCCCATCCCACCCAGCTCTCCGCCCGGCCCCAGCGCCCTTTTCTTCCCCCTCTCCCAGTCCATGGGGACGCAAAGCGCAAATCCTTGCGTGGTGTTAGGGGAGCAGCTGGAGAAGAGGGTGGGCACACTAAAGAATTTTCCAGGGAAGACGAAATGGAAATAGCCAAAATGCAATGCGCCCCCCACCCTCCAGGATGCTGAGAGTCTCTGGGCGGCGGCACAGCCCCCGCCACCCGCGACAGCATTGCTATGGTCTTTCTCCTGAGCGCCCCATTGTTCACACTTTGCCAGGATCAGGAACATCGCCCAGAGAAAGGAGACTGGGGCGAGGTGTCTCGGGCAGCTGGCTACCTGCCATTCTTCGCTGGCACCGCGCAACCCTGGGCTCGCGGTGCGTGTAAAGGCACACGCGCGCACACACGCGCGCGCGCGCGCGCGCACACACACACACACACACACACACACACATACACACACGCACACCAGGCAGTTCGGATCACGCCCTCCTCGCCCTCCGCCCCTCTGCACTTCCTCCTGTCAAAACGCGGCGCTGGACCCTCCCATCCCTCCGTGCTCCCGGCCGAGGGCAGGCTTTGCAACTACCCAGCAATTTGGCAAATGAAAAACTAACGTCATTTGCACGGGGGTGCAGGAACGACCACACGGCCCTGCGGTGCTGCCCAGGGTTGCCCCATTTTGCAAACCGTTATTCGGGGCGGGGAAGAAGAGGGAGTACACGAAGGCGGCAAGCCCCACTTTATCACACAACAGGACGAAATGATAAGGGGAAGCTGTCCAGCCTTATTGTTCACTCTTCCCGAAGCTTGACAAGCCCCTTTTGGTAGAAGATGAGCCCGGGGGCGACACCACCCGAGTCGCGCATCCCCACCGCCCGCCTTCGGGGAAGGCGAAGCAGCGCTCCCTATCACCACAGCATCCCGGTCCCATACCCCTGTCCCACCTCCGCGGGCACACAAGTGGGAAGGGCGTGCGCAGTAGTCACCAAACGGGGAAGCAACCGCGTCCAGCGCTGTCCCGGAGGGCACGGGTTTGGCTGGACAGCAAGGACGATGAGATGCGCTCCCTTCTCAGCTCAGTGAAAACGCTAGGTCTTAGCCTCACACACACACACACACACACACACACACACACACACACACACACACCCTCCAAAAGAACTGTACTCCTCGAGGAGAGGAAGGAAGGACAGGGGCAAGTGGACAATTAGCTAACCCGATGTAGAATTTTTAAAAAAATAAAAATGTACCTGCAGTTCCCAGGAAAAACAAAGTCCAGATGAGATCCGTAGTTCGCAGCATTGTAAACTGCAGGCTGGAAGGGATGTTCTGGCCGCGGTAAATTCTGTGCCTTCCCCTTGCTAGCGACTGTGGACGGCGGCGGAGCAACGGACCGAGGAGCAGACAATTGCCAGGCTGGGTATGATTATTTTTGCAGAATTGTTTCCTGCCAGCCACTGCCGAGCTGCGTTCACGCGCTGAGCGGAGAATGAGTGACAGTCCCAGCCTCAGCACACTAGCAACTCGGAGATCCCTGCGCTGGCCCGGGTTGGCTTTGATGGAACTGGGGATGCGAGCGACGGGCGGGGGGCGGAGGTGAGAACCTCACTGTGTCCTTCCACCACGCCGACCACAAATAGTTCCTCACAACCAGGAGGTAAGAGACAGGGGAGGCAGATGCGGTCGCCTGCAAAATGCGGCCTGGAATTATCCCGGGGAGCCGGGCTCTTTCAGGCGCAGCCTTGCCGGCTGAGCTGGGATTTCTTCTTTCCACCCTTTTCCTTCCTTCATTCATGCCTTCGCAGATCCTTCTGCCCTCCAGCGTTCCTAAACTAGGAATCTGAACATTTTAATAATTACCAAAGGAAATAAAAAAGAAAAGAATTTTTGATTTGGGTTAGATTTTCAAAGTTGTGGAATCCCCCCCCCCCCCCGTTTGGTTACTAAAGTCGTAGCAACGGGAAGCATATGGTTTCATTTTTTTTTTAAGTGAAGGAAAATGGAAATTTGGAGAGAGACGCAGGTTGCAGAGGTTTGTTTTGTTGTTTGTTTGTTTTCTCTGGGCTATGAGGTTTACCTTCCCACAGAGGGAGCAACTCACACACCATCTCAGATCTCCAAAGTGGGGGTGGGGAAGCCAGTCAGAAGCCATATCCAGAAATAACCAGAAACTGTTGACAAGTATTGGAATCCTGACCCCACCCCTACCATCTTCCTCTCTGACTTTTCTGTAGGCATTATGGCCTAGGAGCAACAGTTCTTCAACAATATGACTGAGCTATCAGTCCAAAGACTTCCATTAATCAGCCAGCCTTGTTTGTTAAAAGAAGGGATGGGGAGCAGAGCGAAATCAGCCCACATTCGCACCTGAACTGGGCTTGAGTTGCACGAGAAAGACAGATGAGGGTGTTCTGGACGGGTCTTGACTATGTTAGCCTTGCACAGTGACATCACCCAACAGAGAAGAGCATCAATTCACCCATACGCCCTCCCATTTACTTCACAGGGCAGGCTCCTTGGTGCCATAGCATTTAGAAAAACCACCTTCTTCTGACTGATCAATCACCCTTCAGCTCTCCTCTCTCCTGTAAAATGAACCAGGTAGACCACATCAGGTGCCGGGGTTTCCAGGGATTCATGGGAAGCGCTCTCTTCTCCTCAGGAACCTTTCCCATTCACTTTTGTAATATGTACCTTACCCTGATTATAAACCGATCAAAAACACAAAAAAAGCATAAAAGCTCAAAGAGTATCTCTATGCCCCACGGATTCTAAAGATATCCACAGTATTCCTAAGTCTTCTACGTATGCCAACAATTATGCGTGTGTGATGCAGGTGTGCATGTGTGTGCAGCATGTGTATTAGTAGGTGTGTGTGTGTAGATGTCAGAAGATAACTTTGGGTGTTGTTCCTCAGGCACCCCTCCCCATCCTGGAGCTCTCGCCCAGTAGCCTAGACTGCTGGGTGGTCACCTCTAGGGACCGGCCTGTCTCTGCCTCCTAAGACCTGTGGCTGCAACCACCCTGCCACACCTGGCTTAAACAAACAAACCAAACTGGCCTCTGGCGATGAAGCTCAAGAACTCCAGCTTGCAAGACAAGCAATTTACAGTCTGAACTGCCTCCTTAGCCCTGCGTACAATTTTTATAATTAGCACATTCTACTAGCAATCTGAAGCCTGCTGATTTTTCCTAATGGCATATAAGCATTTCCCTGCAGCCATGAGACGAGCTCTCTAAATAGCTCTACAGTATTTCTTCTATGGATGTCTCCATAGCTCCCCCCCCCCCAACACTGGATGTTTAGAGTGCTTCCAGAGTTTGATAATATAAATAATACCTTCATGAACATCAACTCAAGTATTGGTTGGGTAGCCAGTGTACTTAGCCCTGTGTTTGATGTCTATACATCTACTATAGCATGATCTGGAATGTTCCTCCAAGGCCCAGGAAGTCGAGTCTGGACCCCTAGAGCGGCTTAAGTAGGGCAGGATAGAACATCCAGTGGTGGGGACGAGAAAGACACAGGGTCACTTGAGGTTGTGTCTTGAAGGGGATATTGAGAACCTTGTCCCTCTTCTCTGCCTAGTACTTTCTGATGACTATGAGCTTTTATTTTCCCCTTCCTCGCAATCCTTACTATGGTGTGTTCTTGCACCAGGCCCAAAGGCAGCAGGTCGAAGCCGCCACAGACTGAGATCTCTGAAACCATGAACTCACAGGAACCTTTCCTCTCCATAAGCTGTTTGTGTCACATAGTTTCCACTGAGACAGAAATCTGACTTTTCTGCACATCACATGCATATACTTCTGGTTGCTGTCTTTTGCCATTGTGTAAAAATGACCACATTATACCTTTTAACTTTATGTGGACAAATATATCAGACTCTTTTCTAACGAAGTTTTCAGTGCAGAGAAAAAAAGAGTAGGCCGAGGGTGGAGAGGAGTGAAGGTTGGAGCACCCAAAATAAATGTTTTCTAATTTTACCACCCAGAGTGAGACACATCCATCCTTGCAAACTAGCTTCTTATAGCCCACGTCAATAGAAGCAGAAGATTCCTCACTACTTTTCTCCCCCAAATGTCCCTATTTTTAGCCTTTAGATGTAGACAAGTGTGGAAATCCTATCTCACTTCAGCATGAATAGACTTTCTTCTTTTTGTCTCTCTCCAGCCCCTCCCATTGCTGTGTAGCTGTTCGCTATTGTCATGACTCATTCTTGAATTCTGTCCCAGCTACTCCAGTCTCCAATCCTAGGATCTCTCTGATGTTCCTGTAACAGGATGGACCGCTGGTCCCCAGTTCTTCAGCTCTCTTCTGAGTTCTTTGTCCACACTCCACCCGTGAATCATTTTTCTTAAATTTGATAAAGCCGTGGTTGTCTATATACCTTTGCTGAGAGAGAGAGAGAGAGAGAGAGAGAGAGAGAGAGAGAGAGAGAGTCAGTCTAGGCTGTTAGGCACACATCAGTAAACAGTTCTCAGTGCCCGTAGGGTCCATGTAGGGAAGGAGACACTCAGACTATGTGTAGGAAGGGAGATTTAGTTGTGTCATCTAAGAAGACAGCCACAGAAAGAGGGCCCCCAGAGAGCCAGGTCAGTGTTGGAACTGGGAGGTTCCAGTTCCCGACAGTGTAGCAGAAAAAGGAAGAGACTTCCAAGAAGCAAACAACAGAATTTCAAAATGTTCCCAAGACTAGATCTGAGGTAGAAGAAGAAACAAGTTCCTCTCCTTTTCTACAGTATTCTGCTGAGCATCAGGTAAATGCCAGGCGCTGCTCTAGACACAGGGTTTGTAGTGCTGGGTTTGCATTCTGATGGCGAATACAGCTGATAAATCATAAGACACCTAGTAGAGAAGCCATGATAAGTATCAAAGGGAGGAAGAGGAAGAGGGGAGAGCCGTGGGAGTTCCAGGCTACAGAGGAGCTGTCCTTTGGATAGGAGACATATAAAAAAAAATTAAAGAAAGGTTTGAGATCAAAGCTTCCTATGTCTGCAGTCGAACAGCTGCTGGTGACAGGGACAGGAAATAAGAAAAGAAGGGAGATTAAGACAAGGTGGTAAGCACAGGAGCAAAGATGCAGCTCTGGAAATTCTCTGTCTCAGGCCCAGAAAGTGATTTCCAATGGTGACATGCAGGACACAGGAGACATTACATTGGTGCGGGTATTCCTTGGTTAAAGGTATGTGCCAAAGTTGCCAATGTAATAGAGAAAAAGAAAGGAAAATGAAAATTGCTAAAATACCTAAAAGAAGCAGATACTTTCAATGTAGTTAGAAATAAAACACAGTTTAAAAGACCTTCCAGGATTTAGACATTTGGAAGGTCTTTGGTGGGCTCTGAGAGAGCAGATTTGTGGAGAGATAGGAAAAAAAGACATCTCTATCTTCAGGATAAAAGGATGAGAAAGGAGAAGGAGCCAGAGAAGAGGAGTCTTGGTTCCAGTGCTGGCAGAGAATGCGTTACAACAGCAACAACAAGAAAAAGCAAGGAAAGTAAGTTTGAGGAAGAAGGAAGCTTGAAAGGGGAGTTTTTAGATTTTGTTTTCTTTATTATTATTTACATGCTTATTTTTCAGAGCCGCGGTGGAAGCAAGGTCTTGTGCATGCTAGGAAAGTGTTTGACACCTGACTTACATCCCATCTCTCTCTGCTTCTGTTTTCATATGATGATGGTGTTCTCTGGTTGTGAAGTAAATTGAAACGTAAATTGAATCAGTTGTCAATTCCTGCTCACACTCTCTGTGACCATATACACTAACTCAACACAAGAACGATTTTAATAAATGAACTTGGTCTAGGTTCTAGTATAGTGTCTCCATTTAGACCTGGTGTTCCTATTTCTCTTGTTAAAGAGACCCATGTCTTAGGGTTTCTATTGCTGTGAAGAGACATCATGACGATGACAACTCTTATTTTAAAAAATAGCATTTAATTGGAACTGTCTTACAGTTCAGAGATTTAGTCTATTATCTTCATGGCAGGACATGGTGGCATGCAGGCAGACATGGTGCTGGAGAAGGAGCTGAGAGTTTTACATCTTTATCCCCAGGCAGCAGAGGAGACTGTGTCACTAGGTCTAGCTTTAACACATAAGACCTCCAACAAGGTAACACACTTCCTCCAACAAGGCCCCACCTACTCCTACAAAGCCACACCTCCTAATAGTGCCCCTCCCTATGGATCAAGCATTCAAACACATGAGCCTATGGAGGTCATTATTTCTACTCCAAACACCCCAAACCCCAAATATGATTCCATGGTTCATAGCTGTCCTAGGGTTTTTTTTTTTCTTAATGACCTAGGTAAAATGTGTTCTCAGAAGCATAGAAGCTTAAGAGCAACATAGTAAATGACCCAAAACTAAAACAAGATAGAAAAAAAAATGTGTCCAAAGTGCTGAGAATAATTCTGGAAAGTATTAGGACCAAGTAATTAAACGGGGCGCATAAATCTAGAAAGCTAAAGCTCCTAGGGAGCCCTCAGCCTGCTTCCTACTTCTCTCAGTTCTGAGCTCTATTGCAGAATGGGGTGGAAGTGGCCTCCTACCTTCCCTGTTCAAGATTGGGCCAGGCACTGATTAAGGAATTCTGGCTGTTCATTGG